CAGCCACCAAAGGTGTACCAGTCCCACCTCCAGGTGCCCTGAGCTGGCTGGAGTCTGGGGGTAGTGGCACACGCCTGTAATCCCACTGCCGAGGAGGCTGAAAGCAGGAGGATGACCATGAATCTGAGCTGTGTAGTGAGACCTTGTAACAACCAAATACATTTTGAAAAAGAATTGAAATCAGATTCCCAAAATGTAAAGACCTAATGAAAAACTGGGCATCAGAATCAGAGATGAACACACACTTCTCCAATGAAGACACAGAAATACAAAGTAGATCAAAAAAGGTACAGTATCATTACTCATTTGAGATATGCAAATTAAAACAATGCTGAAATTCCATCTCACTAGAGAGAGAATGGCTATCATCAAGAATTCAACCAATAACAAATGCTGGTGGAGCTGTGGGAGAAAGGTAACATTGTTTTTTATGTACCTACATGGACTCCAAGGATATGGACCCTATATGAAATGAATTTGAAGGGAATCCTGAGCTGCTAGTATGGATGCTGCTTACCTTACACCTGTATACCAGACATGTTTCACAGTGTGTTAAATACCCTATATGCATCATAAATAGACAGATAGATATATAGATAGATAGATGGAAACAAATCAAATTCAGATTATTGTCCTTGCCAGGATGCCACAAATTCTTAATAAGTAAATCTTAAAAGTGGCTTTGATTTCCACCAACAAAAAATGGGAAAATGTGTGAAATTTTTAATTACAGTGTGGACTATGCTTGTGTAATAATGGAGGGTCTTTAGTGACTCGTAGAAAAATATATATACTTTGAAGTTCTAATTTTAGTGAAATCAATCAAGCACAAAAGTTTAAATACTGGATAAATTTTCTTATAAGTGAAACATAACTTGTACAAAGAGCAAAAGAAAACATCATACCATAGTAATATAGGGGCACATATGATTATAACAGCACCATTAGTCATTGGAAACCACACAAGGGCATGCCCACTGAAGCTTGGATAACAAATATGTAGTATTTGTGAAAAAACAGTATTACTTAGGAATAAAGATAAACTTGAGACTTTTATAGGTAAATTGATGCTACTAGAAACTGTGCTCATATGTGAAGTAAATGATTTCCAATTGTGTAAGCATAGTTTGTCTCCCAGGGGTAAGAAACTTGAAGCATAAATAAAATCCAAAAAAGTACAACAGATAGTGTGAAATGCAAAGGAATTGCTCAAAAGAAAAGAGTAACTGGGATGGGGGAAAGCACAAAGAAAGACAGAAGGAAGTGAAGATTAAATGTACATATACATAAGGACCTAAGATAATTATACTGCTGATTTCTATTGGTTTATTGTAAGCAGTGGTTAATCCTTAACTGTTTAATCAATTTTTCCTGCCTATACCTGGTAATTTAAGCAGCTAGTTTGAAGATATATAACACTATAACAACCACTGTTAATTTCCAATGATTTTATTTTGCAATTCTGTTTCATATAGCAGTCAATTGGTAGGATTCTCACCCTGACTAACTATATATGCTGATACCTGTGAACTAAGCAACTGCACTGAAGATAGCAATGTGTAATGCTAGGGCCATGCTTGGAATGCCTGTCATTCTGTTCTTCTAAATACATAATGTTTGTCATGTCATAGCAATTACTGCCATACTGTCTTTCAAGTAAATGTTTGTTTTTTAAAAAAGAATAATAAATGAAAACAAGCGATAAGAAAAAACATGTCATA